CGATTGGTCTCGGCCAATACTGTCCTGTGCAAACTGAACTGAACTGAACTGAACTCTTCCTGTGGAAACTGAACTGAAATTGTAGCGCAATCCGTGTCCTTCAGTCGATCGTTTTCCGCACCAGACCGTGGTTGCCCCAGCAATGGCTGAAGTTGCTGATGACATTGAAGCACCCGGCGGTGAACAGTCTGTTAGTAGCTCAGCAGAACCGTTGGAAAATAACAGAACTTCCGAGGGGGAAGGTGATGGTGAAGTTGAACAGCATGACGTATCAGTAATACAAGAAGATCAACATGATAATGACTTATCCCAGGATACCCATGAACCTCTTACCGATGAACATGAAGATAGTCGAGCAGAGCAAGATGACTATAACGCAGCAGCAGCTGCTGCCTTAGCAGACTTTGAAGCAGAAGATGAAGGAGATGGCAATGGAGAAGACGACGACGCTGTTAATGTAATTATAAAACAAACCAGTAAGGGAGGCATATACAAGACCGGTACGGCTTATCAAGCGAGATCGGCTTCTCATCCATCACAGTGTAAGTTGCTTTATCGTCCTCAATAGTGCCCATGTTTCGCAGCTCCGGAGATTCCAATGGTGTTTTCATGAAAATCATGAAAATGGTTTCTTCATAAAATATCTGACTCAGTGATTTTACCTGACGGTTACTCATATTGCTCCACTGAATTTTTTACGCTCAATCACGAATCTTCAGTCCAACGAAAAAATTGAGTGCAGTTTTAAAGAGTTAATTCTTTGATGTATAATTCTGGGATCAGCAGCAGCAATGATTTTCCCACATGCAGTATGTGCAGATCTGTATTTTCTTACTGAAAATTGTTGTGCTGATATCCGCAGATGTGAGTGCTAATGTTACCTGAACCCACAGATCGGTTATGAGAATGGGTGACCTTAGCCCCATAGGGTGAATTTCGGGCTCTAAGAAGCTGGGGGTAGCATTGAGCTGAATAAATAACGCCAACTTGATAAGGTCTACGGATCTAAGTTCCTGGAGCTCACCTGCGACAGTGACACACTGCTTGGTATTCACCCGTCTCTGTGATTGTTTTGTTCTCCTTGGAGGATAGTTGTCTGCTATGAAATACAGATAGTATTTAACTTCCCTGAATGGGCCCCTCGGGATCATTGTAATTGGGGGTTAGAGACAAACTGTTACTTGTGCCTCCACTCATTATATCTGTTAATCTAACTCTTCCGTCTTCTCTTAACTATGCTCTCAACATTATGGTCTTCCGCTCTTTATTTAAATACTCAGTCTAAAGACAGCAGCCGAGGCCGGCGCATAAAAGTAATTAGTTACTGGTTGAAAAACAACCAAACAGAAAACTGCAGCTGCTTTTGACTGCTGTAAAAGGTACTTTGAAGACTTCTCCGATTGATTCAAATGCTACTCTTAGTATCACCATGCACTTTACACTTCGCAAGTATTACAAGTTGGTTCAACCCAATTAATTTGACTTTAGCGCGGGAGAAGCATATACAAGTCGTCACCTTTTTGCCACGTCTGTGCCGCCTTCTCCGAGTCGGATGAGACAACCGGACAAGCAATATCAAAATTGAGTTGTATGTAATCGTGCCTGACATCCACAGATTCAGATGACTGTGGTTTGTGCTACGCATGTCACCGAATGGGCTTCCTCGGCGCGTGATGTTTGCTGCTAGTGAGTGGAAGAGGACCAACGATAGCCAAACTTATATCTAGCATGAGAGTATCGGTCACTATGGGTTTACCATTTGAACGTCTCGTGATCGCCTGATCAATAGTTTGAAACACTCGGTTCTATTGAACAACGTCATAAACAAGATCTAGGTCAATGTGCTCAACTTTAAGCAGATTTGAATCGCTTGCTTTCCTGTACTCATCTTACTACTATTCTCTGCTTTGTAACTCTTCGATTCACTCATCACTCAACCGAATGGCCAAACAAAGGACCGACCAAAAGCATGAACTAGTAAAAAAGCCAACTTGAAGTCCGTTTCTAACAAAACGTCTGAGGATCAGTCACTTCAGTTCCCCCAACCGTTCTGTCAGACCCAATGGTTCGATGTTTAAACCTCGCCACTGCCACCCAGCTTAAGTGAGAGGCAGATTTGCTTTTTTCCGGTTCAATACCGAGCCTAACCTAGCAGGTCTGTGATTTGTTTGACAGTCTGGATTCAGACGCGTGTGAAATACATACATACCTACAGCAGGGGCCACTCCAAGTCCCGGTTACCGGTTTTCATCACCGAATACTAAGTCCACGTGGCTCACTCCATCTACTGTTCATCACACGAAATGTGTGATAAAAACGTGTGCTGATAACCTCACCATAATTACAAAAACACTTATGTTTACATGCTTAGCCAGCTGTAATACTTCAACATCACCACCACACAAATTTTATGANTTTTATGATCAGTAACGTCATCACTCTATTGAGTGCCGTGCCTACGCTACATTTTATATTGTTTTACACTTTGTGACCTTTTCGCTTGCAACAATAGTCAGTTGTTATGTTGATGATGACTACGTGGTTTGCACGAAGACATTTTAAATTGCAATAAACAATTCACAACCCTTAGTCCACTCTTTTGGGGACCCTCAGATAATGAATTCATTTTCCGAAGCTAACAAGGCTTTACAATGCGCAACCATAAAAACCCGTTTCTACCATGTTTGACCCAAGCAACCCCGGTGATCATTACGAGCAAGGACGTTAATGATGGTTCGTTTCGAGAAAACTATTTGAGATTAT